TAAAATATGCACGAGTTTCAGATCCGAGTAGGGTTGCCACCTGTCCCGATTCTGTTAGGACTGTGCACAACAATCTTTTCCCGCCACCGTTGTTTTCAACAACATTATGTATAAAAAAGTGTAATTGGGAACTCCAAGAGAACTTTTTGTTTGTCACTTCCTCGTAGGTATTATCAATTGACAATTAACCTTTGTAATTAATTCAGAAATTTGGTTAAGTTTTAAGACATTAGTTCCAAATAGGCTAACAATTGCTGAAATAAATTAACCAACTGCGTTTTAGCACTTAATTAACCTTCTCTCATCAGAACCAGAATTAGAGTTTGGGATCAAAATATTTCATTTCAGCTTTAAGACCTAAATTGAAACCTAAATATGAACCATACATTTTCCTACATTTGTTTTGATTTCCTATTAAGCTACATCTTTAATGTGATGTAGGCCAATCAGTGTATCATCCTGTATACTTTTTCCCATGTTAATCAACTGATGCTTGCATTTTTTATAAATCCCAGTAGGCCTTAACATTATTATTTGGTAGGTACTATTCTAGTTCATAAACAGTTAAAATTAATCTGTTACTGTATGCCTGCTAGCCTTTGACCTTCTTATCTTTGTGATATCCAATTGTGCTAATTTTAGTATCAAAGTTGTTATTGAATTATTTATTCTGGTACTTTATACTTTTCAATGAAATGGTGACCATACAAAGTAGGTTAGGTATTTTTAGCCAAGTATGAATGGAGATGAGTGTAGGATGAGTGTGCGATCTTGTAGTCTTCTTGTTAGTGACTAAGGCCAACATATTCCTTAGACACAGCTATTAATTAATAGCCTATACAGCTATGGCAACTAAGGGACCTACAGTTTATAGTGGGATCCTAACCACATTTTTGCCTTGGTATTAACGAATTGGTCTAATTATCTGGATAGTACTGCGGCTAGTCGTAGTACTCACTAGTGCAGACATTAATCCACACCAGGGAGTATCGCATCCACATTGCATGCCTATAAAAATATCCACAATTCGAGACCTCCTAGTAGCTGGATTACAGGACAACGCCACCGTCCCAGTCTATTATTAAAACTGTAAGGGTTAATAAGACTTCCATACATTCTCTTACCTAAGAAATGCTGTTGTCTGACTAGATATTATTAAAAGTTGAAGACGTCTGTTAAACTAAGGTTTAGTTAGTTGTTATTCTAAAACATGTTTAGATGCATTTAAATCTTGAATTATTGAACTTAAAATTATTGAAAATAAAAGAGCATTTTTACAATAAAATGTATTTTAGCAAAAAACAGAACAGAGATTGATTAACAGAAAACAAAACATCAACTTAAGAACGCTATTAAGATAGTACAAAAGATAAGGTTGAGATTTTGAAATTTACTCAGGTAACAATAGATAATGTTAAACTCTTAATTAACTTTGTAAACAATAGATGAAGTTAAACTTGTAATCAAGTATCACAGCCTTTGTGAACTCCTCAATGTTTGGCTAAAAGACTGAAGTAAATTAACTCATTATAGCTGCCATTTATGATCTCAAAGTCATAAAAGTATTATGAAAGGCTCGATGTTAACAACTTTGTGAAAGTTTTATACTATTAAGATAGCTGTTAAACGATATGCTCTTTTATTTTGTTTTTATGTCTTTGTATTCATAATTTGCATCTATAACAATGGTTTGATACCATCATTGTTAGAACTCGTGTAAAATAAAGAACTTTTACAATTATTAAATAATAATAAAGAACTGATTTTATTCTGATAAATAACAAATATTTAAAACATTTATCCTTAGCAAAATTATGTTATGTTCTTGATCACTTTTAAATTCTTACTACAACTCTTCTCAATTGTTTAAATAAATTAAAAATGAAAACATCTGTTCATAAAAACAAAGACTAACAAATTATTATATTTTAATGTTGATTATTATTGAATTTGTACTATATAAAAAATAACTCGATTTCCAATAACTATGTTACTATCGGCACTATTATTGGAAGATTTTTGTCAGAACAGAAATTATGATACATGTTATTTAACTCTCCATTTTTATACTTTTACCTTCTTTCTCCATAAGTCAAGAAAATTAATTATTTAAAATACTTTTTTTAAATATATTAAGCATAGAATAGGATATTTTTTAAGGTTTTAGTTACATTTGTAATGAAATATGAACTAGGCTACTATATGACTATGTGAACGTAGATGTAAAGGTCGTAAAACCAAATAAAGTTATTACCTCTCTTAGTCGATCACGGCAACGATCAGTTATCGGCTTCAGTGTGAGTGTCGTTGAGTCATTCCTCGTATTTCATACAGTAAACACAATGTCATGGTCTTTATTGGCTCTTGGCTTGTTAATCTTTGTTTATTTTTACAGCTTCAATTTGAGATTGAGAACAGTTACGTTTGTAAATTGCGCTATTGTTTGTTTTGAAGATATCAGTTCTAATTTTATGTTTTAGTTTTTTGTTTGGTCGTAAATTGGTACCTTTGAAAGGTCATTTTGTATTTTTAAGATATAGGTTTGGCAATAATATCAGCGTTAGTTACTATTTCCTTCACTTTTATGGTGTACCCACAGAGAAGTAAGGAATAGAGGATACACTCCATGTGTGTGTATGCTTAAGAGGTGTCTAGCACTAGTGCTGGTGTCTAGAGCAAAGTCCCGCAATCCCCCCCCCCTTGCCCTCATGTACTACAATGCTCAAGGTAGATGAAGAATCACAGTCACACAGTGCTCACCATTCGGGCTCTTCCCTGCTCGTCACAATTATATTTCCGCCCCAACATACCAGAGCTGAAAGCTTATGGTTGTCCCACTCCCATAAGCATAAAAACTTAGGTTTTCTATGTATCTTACTCTCTGTGTTGTAGGCCTACTTTAGTAGAAATACAGTAGAACCTCAATAATCCAGATGCTCCTAAAATCATCATCAATGTTAGCTGGAGAAGACATACCTTAACATAACAGTGTTCTCTTACGACTTCCAATCACATACAAACTTCACATGGTTATTTTGTGTGTAAAAGTATGCGGAAGGGATTCATATTCATAATAAGTATAAATGTGATATATTGAAAAGTCTAAACGAGTACTAGCAACGGTAGTAGTACCAATTTAAAAGTTAAAGTACCAAGTTAAAATACCAAATCAAAATAACATAATGCCTGGGGGGTAAAGAACTCTCCAAAAGAATAAATAGCCAAATTTAATACATATAATCTTTAAGTAATTTCTTAAACTCATTAAAATCTTTCTATTTTTTAGGTTATAGGTGATACATTTAAAAAATATTTTACCTGCATTGAAGAGGGTTTCTAATTTGAAGTGAAGTTTAAGTGCATTTTTAATGCATGTTCTTTTTTCTGAATCATCCCTCTTTAGCTTGAGCATCATCCGGATAACTCTTTTTGAATGTACCCAACATTCATTTGTTTCATAGAAATGTAATGATACAATGGTATTATGTTGGATCATAGGGGATTTACTGTACTATTGTTATTAACCTCTGACTTGATACGTTACAGGACTCACAGTGGAGTTGTCAGACAGGACAAGAAGACTGTTACTGCCCCAGTCCTCATGTGGGTTAAGGCTCTTGACTTGCTTCTGGACCAGCTCAAAGTTTGTGGAGCCGACTTCTCCCAAATAGCAGCCCTCTCTGGCTCAGCTCAGGTAAGATGAGTGTTAAATCCTTAGCTCTTTGAGCCCTATAGATTATTTGTAGATTTTACTATTCTTATTTTTATCATGTTTGTCAATCCTCTGATGAACACAAAAATCTGTTATATACAAGAGGTAAGTTACCTTTTTTATGTCCAATTATTCCTCGTCTATATGGGGACCGGTTTCAACGTTTCAATGGTGTCATTGTCAAGTTGGTTGTAAAATCTATTACTCATAGGAGGCCGTCGGTCGTCATAAGTCTTAAAAACACGTAACCACCATACACAAGAACACAAAAGAACGGTAAAATGCATGGCCATATAACTTCAAATTACAACTTGGCGGCAAGTAGGTCTCTGTATTGTTACACCCTGTACATCGTGACATGTAAGCTGGCACTTGACCGATCACTACTAACCTAGTTTAAGAACATTATACCTACTTACTTACTTACTTGAATACTTGAAGGCTTCGTCTCTGACATGAATCCCGGATGGACTGTGTCAAACTAATTTAATATAAAAACTGAACCAAGTTAGCGGCGAGTTAAATAAAGTGGCACGTCATATAAATATTTTAATTAGTAGATATTAGTAGGCCTAATTTGAAGTTTTTCCCGCACTGAGGTTTTAAATCCAGCCACATCCATTCTTCTAACTTCTTTAGGTAGACTATTGAAGAGTTTGATTGCGGTCACTGAGATGCTTTTCAGGGATTTGGACAGTCTGCATTGAGTGATGTCGAGTCTTTCCTGGTGTTATACTGATGGATATCTTGTCTTCTTCCATACATAGAGATGTTCTGGCGTACGTGTATCAGAAAGTTAAGATATGTTGTCCATTAACAGTCAGGATTCCGAGACGTTAAATGATAGGCCTATTTGTAAAATCTCTGCCCCTAATTTCAGTAGAGGTCATCACTCTCAATGCCTCCTTTTGGAGTATTAACAATCTACTGCATGCGGAAGCGTGACCCCAAAGGAGGATAGGTACCATACACGATATGGCTGTGGAATAGCGAGAAGTAAACAGTAACAAGGTACTGCTCAGTGACCACATCATGTAGCTTTCCGAGGAGGAAGATCACTCTGGCCAATTTGGTGCAGATCTGGGCCATATGGTGATCCCAGTTTAATTTCTGGTCAAGCCAGAAACCATAAGCAGCTTTACTGGTTGATTTTCTTCAGCAGCAATTTGTCTCCCAAGAGTGCAGATCAGGAGTTGGGCCGTCCTCGTTTAATTTTAACTTGTTAGAGGCAAACCACTCCATTGTTGTCTCCAGCAATGCGCTTGCCTCCCTCTTCACCCGTTCAACACGTCTACCTTCCGTCACCAATGTTGTGTCATCAGCAAATAGTAATGCCTTGCCGTCTATTCCTAGGACATTGATTAATATCAGGAAAAGGAGAGGCCCTTGGACAGAGCCCTGAGGAACACCATGTCCGTAAGAGATTTTGTTACTGGCTCCTACAAATTTACAATTTACAATTTGCCTCCTATTTGCCAGATAACTGGAGATTGCTTGGAGCGTGGTGCCTTCAACCCCATATGATTTTAGCTTGCTGAACAGAATGTCGTGTGGCACACAATCAAACACACGACTCAAATCACAGAGGGTGAGAGCCAGTTAGTTCCCAGATTCAAAAGTGTCGGTTATTCTGGAAGCCAAGGAATTCCGAAGCTTTATTCAAATATTGGCCATTTGGAATTGATGGTTTTTTCTGTGTACAGCTGTTGTTGTTGAACACTATGTTGAGCATCATTCAGTAGGTTGTTCGACTCAAAGTATTTGCATAGTTGGTTCTTGATTGTGGTCTCGACTACTTTGGACAAAACTGGAAGCACTGATATAGGCCTATAGTTTTTTATTTCTTCGGTATCACCTTTTTTATAGACTGGAACTGTTTGAGCTATCTTGAGGGAATCTGGGAAAATACAATTCCTGAGATAGCTGTTTATAGCCGATGACAGAGGAGAGGTGATATCACTGATTACAAATTTTAGGACATTATATGAGACCCTATAGATGTCTGGGCTTTTAGAGTTCCTTAAGTTCTTAACAATCTGATAGATCTCTTTTGGGGTTACTTCTCACCAGTTTCGAAGATCTGGCCCCTGTACGTTGTACAGTGGGTTGATAGAGGGTAGGATGGCCACTATTTCATCCACAGAATCAAGGAAGAAGCCATTGAAGTCAACAGGGCTGGCAGAACAGCCATCTTTAGGCCTTTTTATTCGATGCTGGTTCACAATACTCCAGGCAGCTTTGCATTTGTTGGAAGACTGCTCTATGACATTATTTTACATTGAAGGCCTTTTTTGCCTCTTATAACATATAAGGGTAACCGTTTATTTCTTTCAATCGATTACTTAGTGGACTTGACATGGTCATTGATTGTCTTAACAAGGTTTTTAAGATGAGGTAGGGAAGGGGAATACCAAGATTTATCCTGCTGCGGACATCCACTCCTGGTATTACGAGGCCTATTTGACTTTTGTTTAAAAATTTTGGTATGAAAGATCTGGAATTGAATTCATGGTTGAATATAAAAACTGATAAAGCTATCAAAAGGCCTTTCATTCTGAGTTGGGCCTATACTTGTTTTATTTACCCAATCAACTTTCCTCAATTCATATTTTATAACAGGTTGGATATCATCTCTGACTATCTGTTGAGAAACAATGTAACTGGCCTGCCATGGGACTTTTAGTTGGACACTTGTTTTTATCTCCATAATCACTGCAGAGTGATCAGCTACAGTAGGGTCAATGACAGATCTTCTATATTCCCAAGTGTTGAGATTTGTTGCTATGGTATCGAGGCAGGCAGTATTTCTAGTGGGTTTCCGGCTTGTAATGTATAGTCCAAAAGTACGGAGCAGGTTGAAGAACACATTTTCCTCCCTGGACTGTTTTTCAAGATGTATGGCAAAGTCCCTGGCCAGGGCAATTTGTTTTCCAGAATGAGAAATGAAATGTAAAAAATCATTTAACCGTTCAAATAGAGGGGAATCATCATCGGGATAGTGATAAAGCGATATTATTTTTAGCCTGCTGTCCAGCAGTTCAATGGCTACAATTTCAATGGTTTTTTTCTATGCAAAAGTTATTTACACAGATTTCCTTAAAACTAAGATTTCTATTTACAAAGATCGCTGATCCCCCATGTATAAATTCTTGTTGGCTGTACATTGAGGTTAGAACAATATCAAGCCCTATCCTGGGGTGAAATTTGGATTCTTCCGATCTTAGCCAGTGCTCAGTTACACATAACACAGTGGGGTTGATTTAATTTACAAACAGGTCAAGAACAATTAAGTTAGTTCGAAGACATTGAACATTATGTGCCATCATGTGGGTTGCAACAACTGTCCCTTGCGACCCATGTGAAGGCGCTCAAGTGCATAAAACATGGGAGTCAACCCTGTGAGTCAGTGGAAATTTTTGCAGTCCAGTCTTTTCCTTACCTCCCTGCCTACACTGCCGCGTTAGGCCCAAGTGCCAGCTTACATTTCAAGAGCTGGATTTTGGACCTACACTCTGGATTGTTATAAAAAGGTTTGAGATGGTCAAACAGTAAAAATGAGTTAAAAGACAAGTAAACTGTCAAATTTAGGGTGCAACTCACAGTACTAACCCCCCCCCCCCCCCCCTCTATTTCAAGTGGGTTTAACATTTTTGTATTTATTAACAGGGGAAGGTTGAAGTTTATTAATACGGATTACAGGATATAAATATTCCGATCACAAATCTCATCAGTACTGATTAATGCTGATTTACGCAGGGTACGTGACTTTCCAGAAGTCATTTTGGTGTTTCATTTTGTAAAACAGTAGTCTATGCATATACAATCGGTTGGATCAGTGGTGGATTGGTTCTTAGTTTATTCTAATAAACTAATAATATGGAGTTTAAATCTCGTAAGTTCTGTCACAAACAGCTGAATACATCATGGGTTGCAATCTATACCTGAATGTAATGGAATTCAAACCCTCAATCCACAGTGGTGTTTCTTGACAACACTGGTAAACCTAAAGGCCAGTTCTAAATTTGACCCACAGATTGCAGCACATGCACAGTACACTTTTCAGTTGTTTTTGTTGAGTTATAATGGCACAATTAGTTGGACGAGGGATGTTCAGAAAGAAACAGATTTACACATCGGCAACACTTGGGGCGAGGCTATTGCCGCCATCTTGGCATTAAAGCATTTGTAAACTCAGTACGCATCCAACTACGGTACCCTGCACATCATGTCTTTCGTACTTTGTGTTAAAATGAGCGCTGTCATTGCAATTTTGAGCTGCTCTAAATAGAAGGAACTTCGTAAAGGTAAACAAACATTCACTATTTTTCTGCGTAGATTGATTTAGAATGACAGTAATACTCAGTCAAATGTTATGATAATATTTTTCTGGATCTTTTAACAGCAGATACTTTTTTGAACCAATGGCTTTTTTCTGTGATAAACCTCAAGGTAGTGAACATACCATATTAAGATATGTAAGTACTCATCAGAAACATTATTATAGTTTTTCACACTCACATGATATGTGTTTTGCAGCAACATGGGACTGTCTACTGGCAGGTGGGAGCTGAAGAAACACTCAAGACTTTGGACCCTGACAGCTTCCTACATACTCAGCTAGCTTCAGCCTTCTCTGTGACCAGCTCTCCTGTATGGATGGACTCTAGCACTTCCCTGCAGTGTCGCCAATTAGAGGAACATGTCGGTGGAGCTCAGGTAAGCTAAACTAGACTACACACTACGTCAGCTGCCAAATGTACACTACTCAAACCTGAAAGCAGCAATATCTGGCGATCACCGATATTGAGAAGTTGAAAAGATCCAAGAACTGGTAAGGCCAGAGCATCCCGATGCAGCTCTGTTACATTACCGGTACCAAATAGTTTAAAAGGTCCGCTTGTAAAATGTTGATTTTTTGTTTTTTTTTCGTACTATGCGATTAGATTTTTTGTACTAATCGCATGCTCAAGGCAGAATTCTGCATACATGAATAAGCGTGGATTCTGTCCAGAGTGCATGCCGATTCAGAATCGGATTCAGAGATTCGGCGTGTGATTAATCTGAGTCAGATATTTTGTTGATAGTCACGGTGGGAGCAGGAAATTCGCCGCCGGTACTGACTCGGTTAGCAAAGAAGCAAGTCAGTTATGGAATTGTTGGATGAGTAATTAATGTATAAGATGATAACGTCTGAAACTGTTGTGAAGCTACAGCCAATGAAAATGGTGTTCATGATATTATATATCTTTTTTCCCATGGCTATAAATGATAGAGCTTCTTTCTATATTGCGTTGAATGGAGCCCAAAACCACCGAAACTTATTATTAAAATTGAACATCCCATTGTAAGAAACTTGTGTAACCTACACAAACAAAACAATTTTCCTGAAGAGCGTTTAGTGGTAACCTAAAAGTAAGGGTGAAAAAATAAAATATTTTACCATAAAAACAAAACTTATTTAATTATATAGTATGCGTACGAGGAAAATCTGAATCAGCATCTGAAACCAGAATGGAGAATTCATTCTGGTAAGCATTTGCCTGCACATGGGCTCGGAAACCGGCAGCCACTACGGCCACTTACGTTTGAATGCAAGTACCATTCCTGCCGCCAAAAATCTGAATCGGCGTGCACTCTGGACATACCGTTACATGAGGCTTTGGTGTTTACAAAGCACTATAAACGTTTAATAATCCATTCTACGTTATAGTGGCCACATTAAGTAATTCAAATTCACTTACCTTAAACTTATCTTAAACGTGTGCATTTTTTCCAAATTTTAAATTAAGTCCCAAATTATATTTTGATTGGCTGTGATGATCACCCTTTGTAGTTAAGCTAATATAGTTGTTAGTTAGCATTATTGTAATCAATATTATCAGCCAATAAATTCAAAATGATAATTAATAAAACTTGTTCACTAACCCTGAACTATCTTTTTGTAGGCTATGTTATCTGGATAAATTTAAGGTGTGATGAATTTCTGTGAGACAGAACGATTACACGAAAGACTAAGTAATTATAACTTATATCATCCCACGCCAATATTTTTGTCAAATTTTATTTAGAGCCAAACAGGGGCCATTTTATAGCGATGTTACAATTTATTTTGTCTCCTAGTCATAACAATGAATTATACAATAAATTCACTCCTTTTGTAAGATAATAATAAAGAATTTAGTAGGTCTACGTAAAAATCTGAGTTTTGGTTGAGAATGAATAAATGAACTTTTCATCTGTTCCAGAAATTGGCTGAAATAAGTGGGTCCAGGGCCTATGAACGATTCTCCGCTGCTCAGATCATGAAAATCGCCCAATCCAAGCCTTCTACTTATGCAAATACCGAGGTAACTTAAGCTACATATGCATCAACTTTCACCTATCTTAGGGTCGCCGATGAACCCTCAAAAGAAATTAGCCTATTAATAAATAAAGCTACACATGACTTCTGACTTCATATACTCACGTTGCATTCACATTCAGCGTAAAATGTCATCCTAGGTGTGCATGGCTGTCTTTAAAGTAGGCCTAATGATAATATCTTCTCCTTGGTTGTCTACATACACACACAAAACTGATGATACATGAACTGTTACCAAAACGTAATCCTTCTTAAATTATTAGGAGTTAGGTTGTCAGCAGAATGAGAATACCAGAGTATTCCTAACAAAGTATCTCTTTCTCTTTTCTGAATTCCAACTTAACTTAATTTGAACTACATATGGCATGGAGGCTATATTGTCATAATGTAAATTTAGTAATTGGTTGATATTGATAATTATCAGTGCTGTCAACCAAGCTTGCGGCAAAAGTGTGAACATATACTACATCAAAACCTGTTTTTGTGTCCTTAGACAAAGTAATTTTGGATCAATGGGATTTTTTAACAAGTAAAAATTAAAACAGCAATGACAAATTCTAACTAGTTCTAATTCAAATGTAAGCCCTTCTATATATTCACGTGGACAGAGGAAAGCGGGAGTTGTCTGGGATCTTGTTTACACTCTACACAGCCGTCCTTACCACGTGTGTACGTCACTGTACTGTGCATGTGTATGCAGATGACTGCCAGTAGCACTTTCCCTACCCAATTGGCTCATTCAATAGTGCCTTTGAGGATGCAAACATGGATCTTGAGAGAATAAGTGAGTGGTCAAGGAAGCACGGCCTTAAGTTGAATGTTAAAAAACGCACAGTGATCCACATCGGATCACCACCCATCGCAATTCAAAAAATCTGCGACGGTGACGTGCATATTCAACTTGAAAATGAAAAGCTTAGGGTTTGTGACACTGTCAGGACTTTGGGCGTGGTTCTTGACAGTGGTCTTACCTTCTCCAACCACACATTTTCTCAAATTGTTTTGGGAAGGCTGCAAGGACTGTACGGATTCCGTTTGATTCTTCCAGAGACTGTAAAATTGAAGTTGGTTCAGTCTCTGGTGTTGTCAGTGATGTATTACTGCATACCTGCATATGCAACAGTATTTCCCGGGAGGATATGAACCGACTTAATAGGCTGCAAAACACTGCAGTTTGTTTTGTCTACAGACTTCATAAGCGGAAACACATATCCTTTTTCCGTGATTCTGCTAGTCTGTTGCCAGCCGAAGCTGTATGCAGAATGCAAACTTGTTGCCTCATCCATCGGGTATTATCTCACAGAGAACCAAAAGACCTGGTGGAGAGACATGTGACACGTGGAGCAATTGCTCGACGGGGCACTAGGCAGGGCACCCTCCTCCACTTTCAAAAGTTAATTTGGAAATAGGGAGGAGGGGGTTCTCCTATTTTGGCCCAACCATTTACAATGACCTCCCCTATCAGTTCAAAAGCCTTTCGGCCTTAGCTTTAAAAAAAGGGTAATATTCATTATAAAGCAGGCATTTATTTTTTTTTTTACTTCTGTACATGTACATAATTTGTTTAGGGATATTACTTGTGAATATTTAGTTTGAGTGATGTTAGTAATTCTGTAAACAAATATTATATTGAGAAGCACTCGAGAATAAAGGAATTTTGATTTGATTTCTAAACATGTTACATTAATACCATATCAAAGATAAAAGATCTTGCAAACAAATATCAAAAAGAAAATGTTATATTAAGAGATGTGACAGCCTGAGATTTTCGATCAGGCCAAATTCGAGTTAGTTGTGATGATCTCCTGCGGTCATGTAGACATCATCATCGTCTCCCGCGGTCACATGAACGTCATTGTCGTCATCCACAACCACGGCAAAAGCTGGAACATATACTTTGGTCATGGAAATGTCATTTGCGACATCCGTGATTGCAGAAAAAGTGGTAATTTGTCAATCATGCAATCTTTGAAAACATTTTGAGTATTGGTATTGGCATCGACTTGCGTTGATCAATTCTCGATACCAATACCAATTGTCAAGTATTATCAAGTATTGTCAAGGGTATCAAGAATTGACACATTCCTATATAGACCCACTATATAAACACATAGTTTATATTATATTCAATGTTTTCAGAGGATATCTCTAGTCAGCAGTTTTGCCTGTTCACTGTTCCTCGGTCGATACGCTCCAATAGACTTGTCAGATGGTTCTGGAATGAATCTATTGGATATCCAAAGCAAAAGTTGGTCACAAGATTGTCTGAAGGTTGGTGTTTTATGGCTTTAGGTTTTAACTAGGTTTAGCATTTGTAAGTTATTTTATTTTTAAATATTCTGCATAGATCCAATTATTTCACACTGTATTAAACTGGTATGAGTCAAAAGGGTGAAAACTAAAAACTAAATAATCTCAAGAATGAAAGGTAATATTTTTAGAAAATGTAATATAACTCTGTTACCTATCTTTTTCATGCACACCTTTTGCTCAACAATTGAAATTATGATGGCACTAACTCCTTTAAGCTTCGAAGTGTCATGGATGTTTAATCTCTTGTTTAGATGAAATACGTTGGTTATCTAGATCATATATGACCCCACAGGATTATTCCCATTGTGGTTACTCTAAGTAGAAAGTCTATGTAAACAAGTCCAACTTGATACTGGAGTTTGAAAATGAGGTTTACAGATTTATCCATCAAAGTTCTTAATAATCGATAAATAAAATAGATGAAAATTGTCTTCAAAAAAGCTAAAGTCAGTAGGGCTGCATGTGGCAGTTACTTGACAGATATTAATTTTCATCTTTTACATAATATTTTACAACTTTCTAAGAAAAAGATCCACCAAGCATGTAAACATAATTACATGCTAATGACATAATTTTATTTGCATAGCATCCATCAAAATCATACATTATCACACTTTCTTATCATATGATAATTGTAATCTACAATGTAGTGTGTTTGTGTAGGCTTGTGCTGAGGACCTAGCCTCCAGGCTGGGAGAGCCAGTACCCTCTCACTCTGACCTGGGCTGTGTCAGGGACTACATGGTGGAGAGGCACAGTTTCAACCCTTCCTGTAGAGTCATAGCACTACATGTAATCTACAATGTAGTGTGTTTGTGTAGGCTTGTGCTGAGGACCTAGCCTCCAGCTGGGAGAGCCAGTACCCTCTCACTCTGACCTGGGCTGTGTCAGTGACTACATGGTGGAGAGGCACAGTTTCAACTCTTCCTGTAGAGTCATAGCACTACATGTAATCTACAATGTAGTGTGTTTGTGTAGGCTTGTGCTGAGGACCTAGCCTCCAGGCTGGGAGAGCCAGTACCCTCTCACTCTGACCTGGGCTGTGTCAGGGACTACATGGTGGAGAGGCACAGTTTCAACCCTTCCTGTAGAGTCATAGCACTACATGTAATCTACAATGTAGTGTGTTTGTGTAGGCTTGTGCTGAGGACCTAGCCTCCAGCTGGGAGAGCCAGTACCCTCTCACTCTGACCTGGGCTGTGTCAGTGACTACATGGTGGAGAGGCACAGTTTCAACTCTTCCTGTAGAGTCATAGCACTACATGTAATCTACAATGTAGTGTGTTTGTGTAGGCTTGTGCTGAGGACCTAGCCTCCAGGCTGGAGAGCCAGTACCCTCTCACTCTGGACCTGGGCTGTGTCAGGGACTACATGGTGGAGAGGCACAGTTTCAACCCTTCCTGTAGAGTCATAGCACTACATGTAATCTACAATGTAGTGTGTTTGTGTAGGCTTGTGCTGAGGACCTAGCCTCCAGGCTGGGAGAGCCAGTACCCTCTCACTCTGACCTGGGCTGTGTCAGTGACTACATGGTGGAGAGGCACAGTTTCAACCCTTCCTGTAGAGTCATAGCATTCACTGGTGACAACCCCTCATCATTAGCAGGTACCCCAAACATTGGCTACTTTTTTCCACATCTACTACAGGTCTCTCCATTTTGTGTGTCAAAGACATGTCACCAGCATTTTTGTTATTTATATTCAATTTCTCTAACATATTAGATGTTTAACGTTTCGTACTTTGTACCAGTCCGTAAACTTTCGGTAAACTTTCTCTTCATGTCTTTCCCATGATTTCTCTAGTGGCAGGTGTTTAGTTATCTTTAAAGCTTTTTTCATTCAATTCAATTTCATTAAATCATTAGAAATTTAATGTTAGACATATTTTGAGCAATTAAAATAAAACAATAAACAAACTAATGCATGTTTCTGTATACATTTAGATTGTGCAACAATGAAAACAGCTGATTTCAATCATCAAAATAAACTGTAACAAAACACTAGCTCACATAGTGGGTTAATAGAGAACTAATAGAGAGCAAGGGAAAATCAGCTGTTCATTTTTCCCTCACTCTAAATTATTAGAGCTTCGGAAACAACTACTTTCTTTGATATCAGCTGTTATGGAAAATAACTACTTTTGGTGAGGAGTGATTAATTAAAAAATATACCCTGTTATGTTTGCAGGCATGACTCTGAGACCAGGAGATGTCGCTGTCAGTTTGGGTACTTCGGATACTCTTTTTCTACCTCTTACACAACCACCCACCCCTGCCTGAAGGACATGTTCTCATTAACCCTGTTGATAGTGATGCATATATGGCTTTGCTGTGGTATGTTCCTTATGATTATAAATTTAATTTCTCAAGAATAAATTTATTTTTTATATGATAGGGTTTTGTAATTTAGATTGTATATTCAAAAAAGTAAATAACATATTTTGGAATTACACTTTGTTTTGATGATTCTGTACACTTATATCCAAAAGCGAGATGAGTTGTTGGTGGTCTATAAGTATACCATTGTTCTTTGTTAATAAATCAAGTTTCATACTGGTAATCAATAGTAGTAATTGGCTCTGAGATAATGCCGTGACTCGGTGATCCAAAATTCACCTAATCTGGAACACCTAATCTGAAAATCGGAAGGTTATCTATAAAAAGTAAAGGAAGAACACGTCTCTTAGGTAAGATAAACAGTCTCTGAATTAGAGATATCTCGACAAAGACTATACAATATTTCAATTTAATTTGATCTTTAATTTATAAACTTTTTTCAAAATATCTACTATGTAAAAAGGTAACATGTGGACTAAAAACGTCAAGTGACAGTTTAGGCTTAATGAATCAGTTCTATGAATTCAAAATGTTGACTAATAGCTAAACATACCTTGTCGGACAATCCTCAACATGTACTGTAGTGTCGTATTTTAAAACATGCTTCATATTTTTTGGCATTTCTTAAACTCTACCATCGTCAGGATCCACTTGTGGAGGCCTTGTCAAAATAAGTTATAAAAATTTCACACATAACACAAAAATACAAAATGATTACAGATAGGCCTAGTAATTCATGTGTTTACATTGCCGCCGGCAGGACTGGAAGTAGACTGAATTAGGTTATGACAGACTGACGTGGACTCTGGATTGTCATCTCCCTTATCAACAGCTTTTTATTGGACTATTGTAGTGGCGGAGAAGAGCGTTGAAAATATAATGGGATTCGTAATTGAGTTTTTCATTTAAAATTTGTGTGCTGCCCCTAGTTTTTATGTATATTTCAAATTCTTCCAAAGTATTTAATAGATTTCCTTTCCCGCAGTACAAAGGCGAAATTAAAGAACCACTGAAACATACGTAGTAAGTTTTAAAATACAACACTACAGTATATGTTAAGGCATGTCCAACATGGTATGCTTAGCCATTATTAGTCATAAAATGCATTCCTGAGGCTATAAAAATAAACTAAAATTGATTTTCCTGAAGATACCATGAATTAGTGTACCCACATAGCAAATTTCAAAAACATTGACTTAAACAATACTTTCTCCACATATGTATAGAAAAAAATAAAAGTGTTTTTTTTTTCATTATTGACAGCCTGTTCCATATCTCTAGATCATAAATGCGACTCAGACAAATTAACAAAGATTAGAAAAAATGTATTCAATCCTTGCAATTACTACTTTAAAAATTATATATTTCTGAAATCCTTAGTAAAATATCTAGTTAGCATGTCGCAGGCACATTAGTTTCACTGCTACAGATTTCCTTTTCAAATTACCTATATCTTCTATCTACTGGCTGAAACCGAAACGTATTACAGACTACATATTTGTTTAACATATTACACGTCGTAGGGTAGGGTATGCCCTCTGTATTCCCTTTTTAAAGTGACTTTCAAAAGATTTTGTTTCAGTTTCAAGAACGGCTCACTCACAAGAGAAAGGATCAGAAATTTAGTTGCTGAAAAGTCATGGGAAAGATTTAGCAGTCTTCTGAACAGCACACCTAGGGGCAATTTTGGAAACTTTGGTAAGAAAATTTTTAATTAGAGTTGTGCGACGCATCGAAAATGAATAGAAATTTCAATTCAATTCGATTTGATGCATCAAATCAACATTCAACCAGGTTAGGGAAGTCAGTTAGGGGAGGTTAGGGGGGTTTCAGGTTAGGGAAAAATCTAAAAACTTAATTTTCATCAACAGATAAATCAGTTTCTTGAGTACTCAAAGTTTGGCCGAAAAGCTTATCCAAATCACCATCACAAAAGCCCCTCGCCCACTACACGATTTCGGCCTTAAGACACTGTGTCGGACCGACCACACTCCAATGTGACCCATTGGATCTTATGAGTGCTCGCCCACTGTACGACAGTCTCACGACCACGATAACTGTCGTGGTGCAGTCCTCTACTCCCACTGTGATCCACGACTGTCGTGCTCACAGTGGCGGACTAGATCAAATGGAGGCTCGCCTACACCACGATTTTTTTGTCGGAAGTCGTGCGTTCTCCCCAGTAATCCTAGTTCTCGCTCCACCTTCTCGCTGTGTACTTCGCATACTGCGTTTGTTTTTTGGAGTGAATAGTGACAATTGCATAAAATAAATTGGTGTGTGGATTGAAAACAGCAACTAAAGTGATAATTATTGACAAAGATGTTTTGATTTTATTACATGGGTGGAATGTCTAACTTCTGTGGGATAAAACTTTGGACGATTATTAGGACAGAAATGCAACGAAAGAAGCGTGGAAATTAGTTTGCTCTGCTCTGAGAGAGGATTTTGAACAATTGGAGGATAAAGGACATTCTGAAGTAGTTTCAAAACTTGTTATCATCACGCCGGAGTTCTTAAAAAAGAATTTGGAATGCTCCTGTGTTCTCTACTTTGATTAATTGGGGGAACCCAGTACTACCGCTTAATCCTACGCCGCTTAATTCTGTGCCCCATTGCAACAACATGTAACGGATTAATTGTTTCACTATT